CAACTTATTGATCGACATTCAGCACTACAAACGTCGCATAAGGAAGATTCCGACCGCATTCCATTCACTCTCACGTTTCACCCTCACAACCACTCAGTTAAATCCATCATTCTTAAAAACTTTAAATTACTTCAAAACGATCCAGAGACAAGCACTATCTTTTCGCAGCCTCCGCTCATTTCATTCAAACGCGACAAAAACATAGGCAATTTTTTGGTCAGAAGTTCTTTTCAGACTAATGACCAACCAGGCACTTTTAAATGCGCTCGTGCACGATGCAAAACGTGTCCTTTCATTCACAACACTGATAAAATATCGGGACCTAAACGATCCATTAAGATCACCGATCACTTCACGTGCACCTCCGCCAATGTAATCTATTGCATAACTTGCACTTATTGCAAAAAGATATACATCGGCGAAACAGGCAGAAGACTAGGTGACCGATTCCGAGAACACCTTCGAGACGTGGAAAGGAATGACAAGGACACATCGAAACCAGTCGCTAGACATTTTAATTTACCTAATCATTCTAAGCAACATATGGCAATCTGCGGTCTTTCCTTACACTTAGGTAGCACGGAAAGCCGTAAAACTCTTGAACAAAAGCTCATCTTTCAAACCGGCAGTCTAAATCCCACAGGGATCAACGAACGCTTTTCATTCCACTAATTTATTCGTGTTTTTCTCGTTGCCATGTTCCCACCAATAACGTAGCTCCATTTTCTGCCTTTAAAAGCACACACAACCCACAATTCCTCTATTCGCTCCGACGAAGGGCTAACGCTCGAAACGTCAGCTTTTGTAATCGTTACGGTGGCCAATTTACCATTTCAACTCTTTTGATACATCCAAATTATTTGTAATCATGTTTCGCATACCTCATTTTTGACTAAATAAAGAAATACAGTAATTCATTAATAGCGCGCACACGATTGGGTATGGACCGCTAAACATTTTTTGTATCACACGGGGAGTAAGAAAGGAGACTTATTCGAAATATTTTATCCATAGGAAACCACATCACCCTGAGATTTTCAAGATTCATTTCTTTAGTTTCTTTCATAACAATTCCCCTGTAAGAATCATTATGATTTTTGGTATCATTCGCGGCTACAAATATAAATTACTTCATCTATCTATTTCCCATACATCGTATTTGTAAATCATCTAATTTCTTTTCAGTTATTTATGACTTCTTTATCCAGATTTTTGATATAGGCAAATCCAGCTACTATAGCTATTCACGGTATATTGTAGCTCCTATCTGAGGAAGGTTGTCGTTGTGTATCGCTTGTGACTGTGTAAGTGCTCCAGATCACGATAAAAGTCTCCAATCACACTTCATAAAGAGAGTAACTGAAGACTTTCACCATATGACACTGAGAGCTGAACAATCCTCAAATACCCCTGCAAATTACTCCATAGATACCTAAAACGCTGAAAAAATGAAAAAGTTTTAATTTGGGGGGTGTTATATTTTACTTGAGAGCAGATTAAAGAAAATCGACCTCGCCCATGCAAAGACCATTTCAATGTGATCTGATGTTGACTTCGATTTCCAAAACGGATGATTCATCTTACCCAAGATAAAGATGCAGAAACAGCCCTACATGAAAAGCCTATGTCTGATTCATAACAGACTTCGTGGGTAAATACTCACTGATACTGAGATAGTCGCTCCTCCTGACCTTTCCAGAAAAGAGCTAATGATTATTCTTCTAAAATTATTTTCCATAGTTTCAATTTAAAATAGGGTGACGTTCTGAAAGAGTGTGCATAAAAACTTGTCATTCAATCTATTTCAATCAAGATTTTAAATTCACATGAGCTTCAAATAATTTTTCTGACAATGCGTTTAAATGTTTCGGGATCTCCTCAAAAACGTGTAAGTGTTCGCTCCCTGCATTAACTCTCACCAATTTATTATCCAGCTGGACAACCAATCCACTTACAGATGGTTGATGCACAAAGTAATTATTCCTGAAGTATCCTTCGAATACAAATTATGGTTTGGTAATATTGGGACCTTAATAGATTATTCTAATTTTTCTCAGAAGCCTTTAACATCTGCCTTGTTTAATTTGGTGGATCGCAGAAGACAGCCAACACCCCCGCATTGTGTGTGTATATACATGAATTTATCATAGGATGCTTTCTGCAAAGCTTAAAGGTTTTAGTTACGTCAATAATAAGATAAATAAAGAGACAGAAGTAAGTCTAATTAGCTACAGAAGATGAAAATGTGTCTAGAAGTTTACGAGAGAAACGTGTGAGCACACGATATCTTTGCCTTATATGTAAAACCATAAACCAGAACTGTATTCTATACTTTACTGTTTGGTTCAAACTGGACGATGGTTAAACAGACGATCGAGGAAAAGCGATTATTTTGTTATAGTTAGAGTAAAATTGAATATATAAAGAAAATACAGGAAAGTGCTGGCGAGCTTAAGTCTAAGGATGTAGAACCAGTGAATACATGAATGATGCCTAATGAGGTTTGTTCAACTCATTTTTAAACACGTCAGAGATGGAGATTAAAAGCCATGTACCTGGAGGTTCTTTTGCTTGTCAACCTGTACAAAATCAACCTTGATGGAACATTCTGTATATTTCATGATCTTTAATTTCCCGAAGTAGACAACATTATGAACTTTATCCATGTTCACCATTCATGGGCAGATGATTTTAATTTCACAGAAGACAATTATCCTGCTGGTAAGCTTGTATATGATAATGCTGAGTTCTACCGAGTTTCTGTTTAACTCAATATGATGAGAGCTGAGCCGCCCCTAAGAAATCTGTCAATCTAAATTACTCTTCTTCGTTTAAGACTCGCTACGTATTTACAGTAATGAAGCTGGAATTTTTCCTGTGAATTCTTCAGTTGGTTACCAAATAAAGGAAACGTACAATTATATGCCGGTCCATCTAAGCCGTACACCAAGGAATGGGTTTGAATATCATCAAGAGGTAGACCCCAGAAGGAAACATTTTAAAATCAAGTCTCAGGGATTGTAAATCAAGATTTATAGATTCAGTTGATAAGAAACTTCTTTCAAAGTGTAACTTCGTAGCTATGACACAAACATTTGCAAGTGAACCTCGAAATTGCGGCGTCTCAAGGTGCTTTCCTCTCAGGCTAACCAAGTCTCCACTTGACGACTTTGATGCAATTGCTTGGTAAGACAGTAAACACACTCAGTTAACCGATTGTTTTAAAATGTAGGAAACCGGGTTTTCTCTAGTCTTCAGTTTGCTCCAGCTGAAAAGTAATCCCTTAGATTAATTTCGAGTACAGCTCTACTGATAAAAGTCATCCATGTTGAATTAATAATCGAAAGAGAAAACGTTATATTGAGTTAGTCTTCGTTTCAACATGAATGGCGTTTTCGAGGAAATATAAATTGAACTGTATTTGCAACATTTTTCATCTGCCTGGAAAAATTGTCGACCTTAATATTTTGTAAAGAAAGGCTTATTCCTTATGGAAGTTTCGACACGGTTTAATGCGCCTTGAACTTGTCAAGTTGTTTTGAGTGAAACATCATTTGTCCACGCTGGCAAAATAAAAGCAACTACCTTACTCTGGAGAAAAAAAAAAACTGAAGTAGAGCTATTTGATTTTGTGTTCGCCATTCTTCGTTTCATCTCAACTCGAAGCCTTGTGTTAAGTTCACAAAACGTGATAAAAAAAGCACCATGCATAAAAGAATCAAATACAAATTGGCAAAGCTACTGTCAGAATTCAACTGTAGTTGATCTCATCTACAGCAAATCTAGAAGCCCTTCTGGATACATTCAGTTGTTCTGGTTTTTGTTTTCCCTTTTTAAAATATTTTATGGCAATTTAACGTTGACAAAGGTCTCGCAAGACCTCGAAATTGTCCTTGACCAAATTAGTTTGAGGATGAAAGTTGTTGATGTATTGTCACTGTACCCAGCTTGAGCTTTCGGTAGGTTGAACTGTTTGATATATCATTTTCACTTGGTTTTGGCTATCTCAAAAACATTTAGTTTCTTTTTACTACTGATAGTGAGATTTCTTCCTTATCTATATCGATGTCTTCTCTTTCAAAACGTATCATCTTGTAAAATGTTGAACAAGGCAATGAAAGCGAAAATGTTTTTCTTCATTCTCTTTCTTGATGAACAAAAAGCCAGAATACTAACTGGACTGTTTTTATCACAGCACCGGCTAAATCTTCATTCAGTAATCTTCGTTTTGGGAAATGTACTGTTTCATTTGATCATCGATAGTCCTTGAATAGGGGTTGCAGTCTGAACTTCCCTAACATTTGTTCCTCTACGGTGGATATAACTGTTCTCCTAAATTCAGCCTTTTAGAGGCTTTACCTGTATTAAAGCATCCAATTCCCACAATGATATAAACAAGTTTGATCTTTTTTATACTCACTTTTGAAGCGTTTGGCCAACAGTTGTGCCTCTTACTTCCATAGAACATCAGTCCTTTCTTTCATCATGAGAAGAGAACAAGCAGAATTAACTGGTGGAAAACGGTTTCGTCTCAGGTGAAATGTGATGATCAAAATCCTGTATTCAATACCTTTATAATAGCAAAAGCTTTACACATTGATTATTGGAAATTAAGTTGCATTAGTATATCTTGGTTTGCGCTGGTGACCTTCATTTTCGCTGTATGGAGAGAAGGTTCAATATTGTCGGTGAAGAGTTATGACAATCGCATACTACAAAGGGCTCAGTGCAACCTCGGTTTCAAGACTACGCAGTTTGCTGCTTATGTCATTTTTCTTGCTGTTGTCTTTTTTGGCTCTGATGTATTTCACCAGCTTAGTTAACTAATTCTGTAAACCATGGAACTTGTTTAAGAGTCTTCAGTGGTGACTCGTGAAAAATAAAACAAACTTGACCCTACCAACACACAATGGCACTTTGCTAGGTTGTCGGTGCGTGAAACCTGCTTGTCTACCAAAACTGACAAAACGTTTCTGAACTGATTTTTTTCGCAAAGATGTCTGATATATGTTCTGAAAATTAGCCATTTTCATTGAGAACTTGGTAAAATATTCTAGGAAAGGAGCATCGCCGGTATACAGGTATCTTAAGCGATGTTACTATCTTCGCTGGCGCTTAGTCAACTTACTGTGAAAACCTTCCGAAGGCCGGTCACGGCCGCCATGTTAGCATCATGTAAAATGCATTTCCCTATTTCCGTAGATAGCTTCCTCTTTGACGAGAACTGCTCTTGAAAATAAGATTTTAACTCCGCAGAAAAGCGAGGGAGTTCGTTGAGATATATTTACCGCGTGTCTCCTGATAAAAAAGCAGCTAAGATGCTAATTTTTTCTTTCTTAACAGTAGAGTGCGTGGGAGGTTGCGAGCTAGTCTGATCATTTCTGGCTTTTTATTGGCCAGCGCTTGAAATTAAAATGACTGCGAAGTCGAACTTTATCTTTTAGTATAATTCCACGAATATTCAACTGACAGTCACACAGTTCAGTTCTGTAGTTCATGGATTTCAAAGGACGTTTAAAGTACTAAAATGGCGACCAAAAAAAATCTGAACGAGGCATGTCATACTGAAAGGCACAATTGTATACATTTATCATTGTAGTCGATGTGGCCTTTTACTCCAAAACAGAAAAACTTTGCAATAGTGTATCGATAGATCATTTATTCATCGCCGTTGTATTGAAAACAGTAAGTAGGGCAGAAAATGTATCACAAAAGAGGAGGGAAGTCCTCCGTTAGCGGCGCATAAAATTCGAATTATTAAACGCGAAGCATCGACAAAGCCGAGTGCTATTTTTAGTTTCCAAAAATAACTGTGTTCGATTTTCTTTTGATTATGAAAGAAAATGCTTCTTATTTGTCGAAATCCATTTTGTCTCTGTCGAAACAGCTGCACTTTAGGGACACATTTGCAATAGAGAATTCTCACCGTAGGCTCCTTCAATTTTATTGCTCGATTTTCATGGGTTTTACCTCCCACGCAAGTCGCTTCAAAATAAAGAAAATGACTATATTATTAATGAGATGTGCGAGGCCCTAAAAATAGATTACAATCTGACTGATGTATTTTATTTTAGTACAAGTTGAGCCTGATTAATACTGCACCGTATGCGGCATATGTCGAAAGCAATTTTGGTGCCAAAATTTTTACAACACAAAATCTGCTTTTTCAGTCAATTTTGCACAGAGATAGCGAATACTTTCTCCAGTTTTTTTGTAATCTCTTGGAAACGGTTTAGGTTAAAATGACGGTGTTTCGACATCCACATGAAAATTTCCCGGCAATTTCCCGCCATTTTCAAGAGAAATGTCCCATTAAGAAGGAAGTGAACTTAACTTACTCACAGAAATATTGTGCAATTCCGCCAGTACTGAAATAACTTGAAACTAAATTTATATTTCTCTACAGGAATAAATTTCAGGGAATATTTCTCGGATTGCTAATGATTTTACGGCATGGAGGTCTTATTTGAACATTGGTGTCGAATTCAAACCACCAACTTGAAGACTGACAGATCGAGAAAAAAACGGCATGATACAGTGACAATTAACCAGACTAAAATAGATGAATCACCGTTTACTATGCGTGCATTTGTGTCTCTCGAGAAACGATATTCTGTACTTTTACTTTATGATGAATTCAAGCCACCTGGTCCTCTGACTAAAAATTTTGTCATCATTAAGGCTAGCAGTTACGGTGTAAAACGCCGTAAGGCTCGCGCAGGTTATTCAAAGATAACAAATTCGACAGAAATAAATGACGCAAAGCTGGAGATGACTGTTGTTAACCACAATTGACTACTTTTTTTCTTTACAATTTAATTCGCGTCCTAACTCGCGGCCGACTTGCCAAATTTTTTTTTTCTTTTGTACTCATCGTCCATAGCATACCTATACTTCAAAGGTAACAGTTTAAAAATCGTGCTACACCATCACAGACTCGGCGGTCCGCAGACGAACACTGCAGAAGACATACTCTGTATTAGATAGCGTATCGAAGAGACCTTGAAATTAATTTAAAGCGAATTGGCTAAGTCCTGTCAAGGCGAAATTATGATGACGGACTCTGCTTAACTTATTACGTTCCTATGAGTACCTTGTGTTATATTTTCCCTCATCGAGAGAAAGTTTTGACGATTTCGACAATTTGAAGACGTTTTCAGTCCTCAAGTGAACAAGGTAACAACATTAAAAGCAAGGGTAAACCAGTTGGGAAAAGGGTCTGTTTACCAGTAAAGCACAAGAAAAAGATGGAGTCGTCCTTTTGCTAGTCCTTTCTTTATCCATTTTAAGACACCTATACATATATAGACCGCTTACACAGACAAAATGCAAGCGGACAGGGAGAATCAGTTTTTTTCCTTTGGTATAACGGAACAATGACTGCTCGATCGACTTCCAATTTAATATTAGAATCGTGAGTTATTTACGCGCAGAGCAGCTGAAGAACACTAAATTGCAGCAGTTCGAGGTGCTTGTACATATTGAAAAATTGTCGGCAAGTTTTGCAGAGCAGTTTCTGTGGGACTGATATATACCCTTAGTGGATTGATGGAGTTCAACGAAGAAGGGAGAAATCTCACCAGGAATGATAATTATGATACAATACCATGCACTTACTGATATATTTCCACCATTTTAACTATTCAAACGATCGCTTTGTCGTTTGTGTAGGCATTTCAAAGCTCGATAAACGTAAGGGAGAAGAGAGAGAAAATGATAATTGTGTTCAACGCAAACGGAAAGAATAGGCTAATCTTTAAAAAATGTTGCGTTTTTCATGATCCCCAGACGAAGTCAGCCCATTTTGATCGGTTCCTCTACAGAGTGAGTTACTCCCCTCTCACAGGGTGGCAAATTTTAGCAGAAGAAGTCCTAAGCAAACTGTCTTCGTAAACGTCTTCGCAAGAGACAGGAACGGCCGCGAGACTTAAATGTTTTTACGAGATGTCTGTGTATAGCAATAACGGCTTTACTTTTTTTTTCCGCAATGAGCGGCGAATAAGTGGAAGATTGTATCGTGTGTTTGAGGCGAAGTGTGACTCAGATAACTAAAATTATTCGAAGAAGTGTATCAAGAAGACGCCTCCTATAACGCATTATCAAAACGAATGGATGAATGTCTGCTTAAGACTCGAAGACTGAGATGGCCGACCAACCAGGAGAACGAACTAGAAAACGAAATTTTAATGCCTTATTCCTGGAAATAGACAAAAGCTTTGAATCTCTGGAATTTTAAGCTTGAAACCTGTCAGAATTTTGGTTATATTTGCTTTGTTCGAGGATCACAGAAATGTGCGTATCCCTTTAGATGACCAGTGCTTCCACATCCAGTCGATTTAACTGCATTGAACCATGCAGGAAGGAGCCTGTTCCCTGACAAAGCAGTAGCGTTCGCAAATTAGGTCTAGAAAATTCGAGAAAAATCTAGCAAACTCTTCAGCTTCTGTTTGTTAACACTAGCAATATTAATGCTAAATTTTGCTGCGATGATTTTTTATCGATGTCTTCAGTCAGATCACACAAATTATTCACTTGCTGAACTCGTGTGGATGGAAAATGATGGTTGCACGGTGTTATAACCATCAGGAGCATAAACACAGTCCTTTTCACGCGCAAATTTCATAGATTTTCACAACACAAAATGAAATAAATTTTGAATAAGTAATAAGACTGTTAACAAGTTTTAGTCTTAACTCAAAGCTCTGCTGGTCTATCTTTCTATCCTAGTAAATGCTAGATCACTGTGAACCCGTCTTCATTGGGAGGCCGTGTTCCGTTTATGGCCACGAATTGTGTGCTTTTGACTCACGGTTCCATGATAACTTCTGGTGTGTTTAGTTTATTGTCATTATGTAAAAGCTTCACGGTTTTCCTTTGTTTTTTGCAGCTCTGAGTACTCCACAGAATTTTCTGAAGGTAAATATGAATTTGGTGAATTAAATGCGCTGAAATCACTAAGGAAAATTCTGAGAAAACTATTCAGTTTACTAGAAAGTGCGATCCTTCCCGAAGTTTCGACTAGTATCAAGCTAGCGCTGTAAATGATATTAGATCTGCATGCATGATTAAGCTTGCAGCACATTTTAAGAATCGTATTCGTCTATGGAACAAAGTAGTGCTGCTTAAGGAAACTCTGCAAATATAAATTTCAATGCAAGCTGAGTTTTTGGTGACGAGATTTTTTCTTTAAAGCAGAAACTAAGTTTTGGTCACCTGCGAACATCATCGAGAGCACTCGCCAAAATGCAATGAATATCTATCACGATAACTCACATGCAAAGTCTTCAGCACGTACCCAATTTCTACTTACTTATGCTTAAACCGGCTTGTGTTCAGAGCGGGAAACATTTCCTGTACAAAAAGAAAAGCCTCTTGGAGTATTGTTCTTTAGCATGAAACGTTTTTCTTGCACTAACGTGCACCTTCCTCGCGGCTGTTGGACTGTAAGATGGTTGAGCTAAAATGCATACAGACTAAAAATGCGTGGGTGTTCAACCTACTCTGCCTTTTTCTCCTTAGCTGTCATATGTCAACAGAGCTTCTTAAAATACATCTGCAGCAAAGGCAAAGACGAGAAAAAACAATTTTTCTGATCTAAGCACACCAGAAGAGAGTATAAATCTACAGGCAAGTTATTGCCTCGGGCCTTTAAGGTTTCAATATAGCGAGAGATGCTTTCGAGGCACTAAAACAAACCAAATTTTTTTCTGTTTACTTGACAAACTACACCCGTTTTCTAATCCATTTCAGCCTTTTACTCGGCATATTAATTTGTTCTTGCAATTCAACTTGAGTTGCTTTTGTAAATTACGCTTATTTTGTCTCAATTTTAGCCAGCAATACAGGGCGTCCATACAAACACTTTTTTCTCTTCCGTCGTAGTCAAAATATTAAATTTTCACCTCGATCATGTTTCAATGTTTTAAACTGGCTTTATAATCATTATACAAATTTGCCTCAGGTTTTGTTAAAATACCATCGAAAGAAGAATGCAGTCTGCGTGTTTGTTTTCTCTCAGCTTAAAGTACGTGGAGACAAAATGTTTAGATTCAGATTTCATCCCAAACAACACAAGTGATAAAATACATTGCAAGTTAGGAATTTTAGCAAAAGTATTGCAGTTCCCCTTATTGCGTGTCCATCTGCGGAAAAAAGCACGGAATAAAATGTGAATCATCGACTTAAAAATTTGCATATTGTTTTGAAATGGAGGGACAACAAACAAAACGGCAGTGGGTCGAAGGGCTAAGAGAGAAGACGAGGCTTAAGGAAAACATCCTTGTTTGTCAGAGTCTTTTCCAAAACAAAAGCGCAAGAACGTGAGAAGAGGTATAAAAGTCAGTCAATTCCAAACTTCAGTACTTTAAATTGCCAAGTCCACTTTGTAAGTTGAGTAGATACGCCAGCGCCTAGCAGACATGCGCACTCTAAAGATGGTCTCGACTTGAATTACTATAGTAAAATTCTTCTTTAATCAAGCGCATTTGTTTCCAGTTGAGAACATCGTTGAGTTGAGTGTATTTCTGACGCGACGAATGAAACTGTGCGGTTTTTCACATAATAACATGAACGCTAAGATTATAGCACACTCACTGACTGAGAACACATCAATTATACAAAGAATGAGGAAGGCTGACATCAAATTGGTCGATCACAGACCATGATAAGCAAGTTATGAATGAATTCTCGTGTAAATAGACAGAATTCCTAAAGCTTTTGTTTCTTTATTTTTTCTTATGAGATTCTTCTTGAGAGGGACTACTGATTAGTTTATCACGGTACACACGGTTATATGCATCCTTATTAAAATAAAGTTCAATCATTCATTTATTCATTCATGTCTCGAACGTTAGCCGTTCTTGAGAGCGAATAGATGAATAATTTTGTAGGTTGTGCGTGCTTTATACGCAGGAAACCATGGTGGGAACATGGTAACGTGAAAAACATATGAATAAATTAGCTAAATGAAAAGCGTTCGTCGATACTTTTGGGATAACACATTGATTTCAAATATGAATTTTCATACTAGATTTTTGCGGCTTTCCGAACTTCCTAGATGTAGGGAAGGGCTGCAGACTGCCATATGTTGCTTACAGTGATTTGGGAGCGTCTAGCGACTGGTTTGATGCGCCTTTGTCATTCCTTTCGTCGTCTAGGCGACCAATTCCGAGAACCTTTGTGATTCACTCCTTTATTGTAGACTCAGTTTATCTCTGAGGAAAGCGCGCAGAAAGATATGAGTAGCGAAAAGCGTAAAAAGCATTGTATTCTCTCTCTTCCGCCTACCCGTCTTCAGCTTCGTTGCCCGCGTGTTTGACTCGTCCCATATCTCTTTCTCTTCTATCGCGCACTGAAGGACTGAGAACTTGTAAGGTAAGGTCAAAGAACAAGACTATTGTTAATACTCAAAAGCTTCACCGTACTCGATATTTGTTATAGGGACAACTGTCTTTTGTAGTTTTCTCCCAATAAATGGCAAGGAACAAAACCGTGAAGGGAGAAACGAGGACAGCAACTACTCGCCCACCCCTCCCCTAACCCAACAACAGTCAACTGATAACAAGCTGGGTGGGATAGGTGCACAGTTGCTCAGACACTGACATTGAATCCTATACGCTTAAAGTCGAAGATAGCAGTGGCCTCTGGGTAAAGTAACCATGGTAACGAGATTTCAGGAATAAAACGAAACTGCAATCTGCCAATCGGTAAACTTTATCATTGGTTATACCAAAAACGGTTAGGATTTGTTTAATCATTAACAACTCATTCACACTCGAGCTCTGTAGTAGTGGAAGTAGTGTGTGCCAGGAAGACCTGTTAAATCTGATCCGTTTGTCGTGTTTAAATCGCAGCTTGAGACTATTATTTCAAAAGCATTCAATTGGATTCAAGTGGCAAAAATGAGTCAAACCTTCTCAGTGAAGACCAGCTTATGTGTTTTTTTCTCGAGGATGGAGGCGCTTAACTTAGAAGGATTAACGAACTTTCTTGTCTAAAACTAGGAAATCTTGAATTTCGACTAAGATTAAAAATGAATCATGATTATCGAAAAGAATTCCAAAAGGCAGAAGTCGCGAGTCTCGAAGGTCAAGGGAATCTACTTCCAACCCGAATTTCTTGATTTCCACTGTTAGATTTCTTATTCATAAATGTGAAAAGGTCAACTAAGGAAAGAAACCACCCGATGCCTTTATTTTGGAACATAGAAATGTCTCTCACGTAAGAAAATTTCTCATTGAAGTGGAATTTCTAACCTCGCGATACCTACATCGTCTGTTGATGTCGAGGATAAGTGTGACGCCTCTGAATTATTGGAAAATGACTTTTCATCATTGTTCAAGAACTATGAATTTTCGCTGACCCATTTTGAAAATTAAAGTTTTTTTATAAACATTAGAACCGAGTTTCTCTCTTCTCTTGTTAATTCCTCCCCCCACTCATTACCAGGCCTTCTCTTGCCATGCGCAAGGTCAACAAAGAAATGAGAGAGAGAGAGAGAGAGAGGGAGAGAGAGAGAAAACGGAAGCGAGAAGTGGTTATTTCAGTAAACGATGTGGGGAGGCGTTAGAGTGTACAGTGGAATCTGCCCGGATCCTGAGTGCCGTACAAAACTTTATTTTCCATCTTATGCTTCCTCGAGCGTAGAATGTACGGGATGCGGGCAGCACCACGCGAAAGACAGTCTGTTAAACTTGGAAGATATCCTTGATCCAGACATTGCTCTTCGAAGTCTTCTGCGTTCAGTCTTACTTGGTCATACTTCCTCTAAGACAACACCAGATCTGGTGAAGGTCAAGGGATATTCAAACTATCACTGTAAACTCTTATCACCGCTATTAACGTACTATGGTATGGACAAACGGACCGGTGAAGGAAGACTATTGAGTGAAATGGGACAAGGAGACATCTTCGACTGCGCTCTGCTGGGCGATCGCGCATTTCAAATTGAGTTGGAACACGTTGAAACTGCAGGCTATGGAAGGGATAATACAGGATCACAGTCATATCTCGAGCAAACGCTACAGGCGATACAAGTTGTTAATGACAATGAAGAACGACTTGTCCCAGTTCATGTTGATGGAGACGGTCATTGTTTAGTTCATGCCATCTCTCGCGCTCTTGTTGGAAGAGAAATCTTCTGGCACGCGCTCAGAGCAAACCTAAAGAGGCATTTGGCAGCGGAATTACACAAATACAAAGGGTTGTTTAGAGACTTTATCCATGATGACGAATGGAAGGATATCATTGCTGAGGCTGACCCCTATTTTGAACCCCCTCCAACCTCTGCCGAAGGGCTAGGTTTGAGGAATATTCATCTCTTTGGCCTTGCGAATGTGCTGCACAGACCTATCATTCTCCTTGACAGTGTCACAGGAATGCAATCTTGTGGTGATTACACAGGAATATTTCTTCCTGCTTTGATCCCCGAAGAATTGTGCAGAAGCAAAGACAAAGTGTTCAACAAACCATTGGCGGTTGCCTGGAGTAGTCCAGGACGGAACCATTTCATTCCACTTGTTGGAATAAAAGGAAAACCTTTGCCCAAGCTTCCTCATTGGTTGATTCCTAAGGCATGGGGTATACCTAATGAGATGGTTAAGAGGTATGTTGAATTTGATCAAGAGGGTCACTGTTTCATTGGTGGGGAGCGCTGCCTTCAAGAAAAATATATACAAAGACTGGTTAAAGCTATGGATGAACTTTTTGTAAAGAAAAACAATATTAGTGCGCAGCTGGTCACTGAAGTCCACCAATTTGTTTACAAACCATCTGGAATGGTGGGTGTTAAACCAGAAAGTGTTACCATGGCAGCCAAATCAGCTGTTACTGATGGTCGACTCCACCGATGTCTGTCTTGCAATGCATTATGTGAAGTACATTTTGATGTTTCCTCTGATGATCTTAAACCAGGAGGAGAACTTTATGAAATAGCTCTACAAACTCACGGACTCCTTGAGGAAGGACTTAGTTACTCCTTTCCTGCACGTGAACTGGTTTGCCTTTTTGATGCAGAACGGGACTCATTGGTGGCAGTTAAACACAAGGTAGATTTGCCTCACCTTCTTGCTTCAAAACTGTTTGTTTATTCTTTCAATTTGAATTTATTATGATAAATTAATGTTACTGTAAATGTTTAGCAAATGTTCAGAATAGAGTGGGAAACAAAGTTTGGCATCTTATAATGCACACGTAACTTCCTTGTTTTGTGTGTTGCAACCCTCTTTTATTCTGATGTTATAATACAAGATGTAAGAAAAAATGAACATGATTTTCTGACAAGGAAAAGAAAGAGAGAAGGTATTCAGGAAAGGGGGGGTCAGTCCCATCAGAAATAAACAATGTGCTCTACAGTAGGAATATAATATTTATTAAAAATTGTGATATACAAAAATTTAAAAAAAGCCATCAGGTGGCAATGATGATGCATGTTAATGTTGCATTCACTAGCTTAATGCTGTAGGATCTGTATTCTTCTTGTAAAAATGCTTGAACATCTGGGATCAATTACAAAGTTGTTGGTAAGAGAGACAACAGCAAAGATGAAAGACAACAGAGTTTATTAATAGTTTGACCCTGAAGGGACAAACATCTTATTTCTCCTTACAATATCACCCCCTGAATCACACATTAAGGTCACGAGAAGGAAATGATCACCAACCAAGAAAGCTCTTGATTGTCAAACAAATTCTCCTTGTCACCACTATTTATATTGTATAGAGAACAGTATGGAGAATATGTATTCTGATGTTAGAGTATAAAGGGTTCACTAATCATAACTTCACTCTCACAGAATATGACTTTGCTGGATTGCCATCTATGTCATGGCCCTTTGCGCCGAGTGAAGTCAGACGGCAGTGCAGTATATGTCAATGGCGATCGTACAACAACACCTGTGGAAGGTAACAGTCGCTGTGGGTGTGGATTCAAACATTTCTGGAATGGAAGGGAATATGAAAACATCCCAGAGAGGTACAGTAAGTCCCAATGTGCATTAAAGCTATGGGATTTATGCAGAAGTCATGTAAATGTTGTTTGTGTCTCAAAATGAAATAAGTTTGAAGTGGATTTAGTTCAAAGAAGTAATATTTTATACGGATTAAATTTTTTTATTGTGAATACTTGTTATTTGAAGTCTCCATGAGTAACTACTTATACTTCTATTTTGTCCTCATCACAAACAAATATTTTCTCAGTCCATTCAGGGCTTGACACTAACTTTTCAACTTACTAGCCAAGTGGCTAGCGACATCTTAGATGTTATGACAATTTCAGTTTGTTTATTAGCCAAACTGGCTGGTGGAAATAAAAAACCACAAGCCAAAACTGAATTTCTACTAGTCTGTGGCTAGTTGGCTACTGTTAGTGTTGAGCCCTGCCATTTTTGATATATGAATACCATAGTTATGTCTTTGGCAGTATTTTTCTATTTGTACAGTAACTGTAAGTTTGTCACATTTTGAGATGCAGCTCATGTATAACAAGGTGACATTCTGAGCAGATTGTCACCATTTTATGGTAATAACATTTGAATTTGCTCATAAAAAGAAAGTGTTGTCATACCTTTCAATCTGTTAACTCCTGTTCGTTACAAAGACAGAATTTTTCCTCACATTATCAATATAAAATAAAGCAGACAAGTAATGAAATGAAAAGATGTGTAAATTAGGGCATTATTATCAATACCAAACTCTCCTCACCAATAACAGCAATTGCATGGCAAACAGTAAGGAGAATTAGGAATCAGATCTGGGAGTTAATGGCATAAAAGGAAATGTTTTTGTGAAACTTGGGAAGACGTTATTAATTGTTTATTTATTTTTATTTATTTATTTACAAGATTTGCCGACAGGCAGGGACACTGCAACAGCCTTGCGCCAATCACTGCGTGCCCAGTAACCCACCCATCCCACCCCAGGGGAGGACATCCATCACACAGTAATCTCTTGTGTGGGAAATTAACATCTCCTACCCCTAACCCTGCAGGAGACAGGACCTCCATTTATTCGTCCCTATCCGAGAAGACTAGAATATCTAACCATTTCTTGATATTATAGAAAGGCAGCATATTCTTCTCAATTATTTTAAGACCTTTGAGTGTTGGTCCGGCCGGGGCTCGAACCCTCGACCTCCCGCACAATAGTCCAGCGCTCTTTCCATTGAGCTAACTGTAGTAACCTGCAGATAAGCTGCACCTTTTTTCCAAAAATCATCGCTAGAAATTGGGGGTGCAGCTTATCTGCGGGGACATTTGAAAAAGGTGTCATGAATGTTGTGTTTTTTTGCATCCGATCTAATGCCTGGTTACTAAGCTTCGAATGTTTTACTCGTGTTCTTGTTGTAATGCAAAAATCTAAGGTAAAACTGTGTTGAATGAAGAAATTCCTGTCAACAAACACCAGAAAAAATCAATAATAATTATCTCGAAGTTGGTAGAAATGATGTTCATCATATTGAAGTGCTAAAATTGTGGATAAGACTTTGAAGTATTTTCCATTGCAATGTTAATAGTGAGTTTACGTTTGATAAACAGTGAATGAAGAAGACTTCTCAAGACTTGACTTTGGATTTCTTTTGATTTCTGTCAAAAAAATTCATTTTCCAAAATTTGAGCTACTAAATTCAAGGTGCGGCCTCTCTGGATGCGGCTTATCTAGGGATTTTTATGGTATCCAATTACTCTAAATACAATCTTACAGTTTTTAACCAAACTATGGTGCTGGCGAGTGGCAGCTAATCACAGAACAATAAAGGCAGCCAAACCATGTTTTAGAATAACTGATCTTCCCACTGTCAGCCTTTTGTCAGAGCAAAGGGTTAAGTAGACATCTTTATTTTATACAGGATAGCCCCTTCAGTGAAGTAAACACTGGTATCAATGGAGGGTTCTGTTACCCGCCCATCCCACCCCAGGGGAGGACATCCATCACACAGTAATCTCGTGTGTGGGAAATTAACGTCTCCTGCCCCTAACCCTGGAGGAGACGTGACCTCCATTTATTCGTCCCTATCCGAGAAGACTAGAATATCTAACCATTTCTTGATGTTATAGAAAGGTAGCATATTCTTCTCAATTATTTTAAGACCCTGAGTGTTGGTCTGGCTGAGGCTCGAACCCTCGACCTCCCGCACAACAGTCCAGCACTCCATCCATTGAGCTAACCAGGAGCTGGTTAAATGCTTCAAAGCTTTAATTTAAGCAACCAACAGCTTTTTCAAAATTTCAATTTTTTCCCATTTCTCATTGATCAACATCAAACCATTACTAATTAAAAGAGATTTATTTTTTGTTGCTCTCACTGCTTTAGTTTCCCAATAAGTTTGGAGTGGAATGGCACAACAGTGAAAGAGACTGTGTTTTGGTTCCAGTATGAACAAGACCCATCTCTTAATTCCAATGTGTATGACGTTGCATCAAAGCTGGTGCAGAAACACTTTCCTGGTGAATTTGGCAGTGAGAGACTCGTACAGAAAGTAGTGGACATCATTTTGCGACAAACGGCAAGAAAGGAAGGAGAAAACAAAGGTTTGTTGTGCTGATTTGAATATAGATTCGCATCGTTAGGGTTGAGATTTAGCAGCAGTAAACTTGAGAAAACTGATCTATTTCAGTCTTTAGAAACAGGCCATCAAATGGTTTACTTAGTTCTTATTAACCGAGCGGGAGGTCTGTATGGGAGAATCTTGACCGAGGTCACCAGTACAGACCGAACGCAGTGAGGTCTGTACCAGCGACCGAGGTCAAGAATCTCCCATACAGACCAACCTCGATTGGTTAATAAGATGTTTATTATATGGCTGTGTCTTATAATGATGCCAATTTTTTATATTCTTTGTACCTCTTTTTTCTAGACCGGTCTAGATGCCGGTATAGTTGGGAAAATCTAGACCGCTTTCAATATTGATTCCAGCCAATCAAATTCGTGAATTCGGTAGTTCCCGGTCCTTGTGAGACACAGCCATATAATAAAAGTCTAAAATGACTTGTTTGTCCCTGTGTTTTTCTGGAACAAGGTTTTACCATGTTTGTTTTTGATTAACCCTCAAAGGAGCACGGCCTCTCACCGCTTCACAAAATACCTCTGGTGCAAACAATGATCAAGATGTAAGCACTGCTAGTTCCTACTCACCAAGTAAGATTATTCTAACTGGTGAGAAGAAGAAGACTCTTCATAAAGAAGAATTAACCATGAGTGACACAGAGAGAGTGATAAAGGCACGTACAGAACACCATGCTGCTGTCATGCAGAAGAGAAGAAGTGGAGAAGGAGCCAAGAAAACAGCAACCAAAGAAGCTAAAGTACAAAAACAGCAGGTATGAAATGTTACAGTAAATACTAGGATTGTGGAATGTACTTGTTTTAACACTTGCAGTAATTATACACTTTATTTAGAGAGGGTGGCACTGAATAGTTGAAGTAACTAATAAACTTGTGGCCCTCTATTTAAAAAAATTAATACTAGCAGGCAATGTATGTTGAATTCTAACATAACCATCAATAAAAACTAGGAATGTCTATCTAATAAGAAGACGAATTACGAATAAAAATAAAATGTAACTTGAGAGCAAATGATGAATCATAATTATGTTAAACTATAAAATGATGTAGTTTCTGTAGTTGTACATTAAGAAGGTTGTTTCCTTAATTGTTCTTAAAAGATTCGAATTCCTGGGTTCTAGAAGTAAGCTATTCCAAAGTTTACAGGTAGTGACTGCGAATGATCTACCGCCTTCGGTCATACAATTAAAATCTTGGGCAAATAAAATTAGTGTTACTATATCTTGTAGCATGATTTTGCAGTTCCATGCTGCTCTCCAAACATTGCCTGAGGTGCTGACAAGGAGACTTTGTTTAAAAATCAAGGGGTGCTTTAGTTGTGGATTATTCCTTTATTCTTGTGACCTGAATGAGTGATTCAGGGGTGGTATTGCCAGAAGAAATTAGATGCCATTCCCTCTTAGGGATAAAGTTGACTTTAAAATTTTCCCCAAAAGATGTAATTATAAGAAATGTTGTGTAATTATTAACCCTTTAACTCCAAGAAGTGATTAACATGTAACTTATCCCTTAATATCCATACACTATCCAGTTGACAGGTAGTAAGAATACTCAAACTTATCAGGTAGAAGTTGTTCCCTTGATTGAACACCAAATTCTTGGAACCAATTTTTAAGGAAATGTGTAGCAGCAAAAGGAGAGACTTAACAATCAGATCTTGGGAGTTCATAGGTTAATATTATCAAGATTGATGAATAGTTCACATACACATTTTTAATTCTACAGACAAGTGTCAAACCTCACCAACCTGCTCAGCAGACAAGCCCTGCCAAAGGCAATGAGACCCAAACAGCTGTGAAACGAACAGAAAAGAAAGTGCGACTGTCCACATCAGATGGAAAACAGAGCATGTTGACACTTGCCATGGACACAACTTTCAAACAGCTTCTACTTCTGATCGAGAAAGAGCTTGGTATACCTCAAACAGAGCTGCGCATTAGGTAAAGAATGTTGTTGATGATTTAAGATATTACATGTAAAGCCACACGCATAGATCCAAACTTGACTTTTTCTCAAAGCTGGCAATCACAGAATGGTCACTAAAAACAAGGGTCTGGAATTTGGAAAAAGGTTGAATTTTGATGGTTGTGAAAGAAAAAGTGTTACTTATTTTGTCATAAGCATAGGACAGAGAAGAATTCTGACTCCTCCTCACGGAATTGAACTTCTAAGCTTTTCTGCTCCATTACTTCATCAGTGAACTTGAATGGTGAGCTTTATTACTTTACCGCATGTAGGTTTGTATGTGACAAATGTTTCTGATCCATCAGAGACTAGTCCCACTGATTCCTTATGACATTACTACACCCAGGTAGGGATTTCCATCATGTGGACTGCACCCTCCAGACATGTGCATGTACATGTACAGTATGCATGTAGCCATTCCTGTTTTTTTTTTAGACTGGTCTCTCAAATTTCTCCATTTTATCATTTGTCCCAGGTATGGATTTCCACCCCGTGAACTGCAGCCTCCAGGAGACGGTCAAGTGGATGACCCTGTTCCCTTGCAGCATGGTGACCGTGTGATGGTGGAACACTTGAAGCCTGTTGTCCCTGAGGAGCACCCTCCTGATGTTATCATGTCAGAACTGAAAACCGAGGGGGGTGAGGGAATTACACCTGTGACAAGAGAGCTTGGGGCAGAAGGAAATAGTAGCCAACAGGAACAAGGTACATGTACATGTAATGTATAACACTAACTGCCTAGCTAAACTAGCTTTAACTCCCAAGATCTGATTGCTACATATTTCCTTGTGAATTAGTTATGAGGGATTGGTGTTACTTCACAATAACAACTTATACCTGATAAATTTGAGTATTCTCATTACCTATTTGCTGGATAACTTATGGATAATATAGGGAGAAGTAATGTGTCAATCACTTCTGGGAGTGAAAAGGTCAATTTTCATTGAATTGAGTACTAGACAATTAAACACTTTTGCATGCTTTTTTTTTTTTTACATTTATTTACAGCAGACAAAAGCCTTTTACAAATCACTTCTAGAGGAGTTTGAACCCAAAGAATTTAATGTTTTCATGTCGCCCTCCAGGTATCAGGACATCACCATCAATGACAATAGTCTGCAGGAGTAGCCTGATTAATCCTTGCAACCTGATTAATCCTTGGTTTTGATTTTTGACAGAAACTGCTATTTTCAGTCTAGGTGATATCTTGATTGCTGTTTATGTGTTGCAAAATACGGTGTCTTTTTCAGGACATCACCGTCAATGACAATAGTCTGCAGGAGTAGCCTGATTAATCCTTGCAACCCCTGCCATTATATATCGTTGATTGGCAAGTCTTGTCCAATGTACTTGCTGTTAATTTAAGTCCATTCCACTCAGTGAAAAAATTATTTTCCCCATTTTCCTTAAGTCCTCATCAACCACATAGCCCTTCAGTT